CCCCTAGAGACGGCGAAGGAGGTGGTGTACCAGACGAATCTGGAGCAGATCCGTGCGCTGCAGGTGGAGTTGAGCAGCGTGAAGGAGGTGCTCTTGGCGACCGAGAAGGAGCTGGAGTTCTACAAGCACAAGGTTGTGTTGCTCGAGAAGCTGTTGGGAGTGGTACTGCTTGCGCTTTGTTGCTGTTTAAGCGTATTGTATGTTGTTATAGGGATGAAGCTAACTATGTTTCTTGTCCTATCGGCAGGCTTTGTCGCATTTGGGCTTCTACGCCTTCCATTGCGGCTAATCTTTGACGCGGCGCGAGCGCTCTTTAATACTTTGGGCCCATTCAAAAGTGCTACTCTGTTGGTTTGCATCCTTCTTTGGGGGTCAAGAGCACTCAAGGGGCTTCGATGTGAAACCTAAACACGTCACTAAATTATTCTCTATCTTGATAGATAGATGCTGATTGGACAATTGAAATGTCCATTTATTGTTATTGTTTTAAAGTAGCAGCAACTACCACATACATTTTTCATTGTACATCATTTTATTCTGTTCCACGTATACAAAGTCGTTACCAATACTGCTTGTCTTCATCCCCATGAATAGGTTACCCTTTGCGCATATTTACAACACTGCATTTTCTTCCTTTAGTGGTATTACACTCTTTGTGTAATTTTTGCCTTTTAGCTCCTATTTTTCTACCTCCACCCCTGTTGATGTAAGTACAGAGACGGGTATACCAGCAACAATCAAAAACTAATGAAAACTGTAAGTGAGTGGTTGGCAACTTCTAGCGACGACGATGATGACATCGTGAACGCCCGCCGGAACGCGAGTCCTGTAATAAAATCTAAAGGGGCGCCGCTTCAACCATCATCTCAGGGTTATCAGCCATCTCCGACCTCTCACAACGCATTGTCAAATACAGCGCCTTCAATTTCTGTAACCCATTTACCGAAGAATGGCAACATCAGCACACAAGAAACAGTCGCCGTGTGTCAAGGCGAGGTTGCATCGGAGCCGCCTCCAGGCTACCGCGCGGTGGAGATCATGGTTGTAGATCGTGGTACGCAAACTGTAAGCACGGTCGGTACTCAAACGGACCCTTTCCCGGTGAATGCGAATAATTGGGATGCAGGAGAATGTCCTACGAACCCATGGGGGGTTCCTGCCCAGCAGGGGGTGCCCCTTGCCCACACTGGAGGCATTCGAGGAACCGTACACACTACCAACGGTATCCCATTGAGAAATAGCCGGCGGCCATATCATCTAACTGTGTCGGAAGTTGAAGCAGAACAAAATTATAGATTTGACGAGTTGAGGCATCAACTTGAACTCATTCAAAATACTCTAGATACGCTCATTAGTCGATACAACCTTCCACCACCACCTTTTTCTTCATTGCTTTAGTCTACCTACTACTGTATATTGCGCACTAAATGCGTTCACCGCATCTTCGCACTTTGTGTCCATTTGCTTAGAATCATAGAAGCCAGAAATTAATTGAGCTCAGCCACACCCATAAGCGTATATAAAAATATATGTAACATATTCACCGTTTTGGCTCTTGAAATGAAACTTTAATGACTCTTTGTTGATATTTTTCACTTTTAAACCCAACCTTGTTCGATCTAGGTACATGTAGGCCTCCTCAAATACTCTTTTCAAGAAACGACAAGAGAAAAAACATTCTTTTCAGGTCGGGGATAATTTAAAGTTTTACGTATCGAGTTGAGATATGGAAATCTCCAAGTACTATGGGAACCCGTTCCAGGATGATGACGATGCTGTGTGCTATGCGGATATCAGTCCTGAAGAGGTGGATATTCCCACGACTCCCACAAGCATCGTAGTGTCCATGCCACAACATTATCACGATTCGCAGCCTCACCATGATGGCGATACCTTTTCTAACCTTTGGCTGGACCTCCAGACGGGAGTTACACCTTTAAGTCAATCACGTCAAAAGAATTCGAATTTTTCATCGCCTCAGCGTCTCCAAGAAGAACTCCAGCAGGCGAATGACAAGATCCTCCAGATGCGCTGTGAGTACGAAGACACAATAGAATCCCTTCGCGCACAGGTTGCCTCTATGGAGGATTCAAAGCGTGAACTTGCTGCTGAAAACAACAGGCTCGAAAAGCGTACTGAGTCTCTTGTTTTGGAGACAGAACTTCTCAAACAGAGTATTCAAGCAGAACGAGCACACAATGACAAGCTAAAAGGACGCATTGCCGATCTTGAGGCTCGATTGAAGAGCCTTGAGTACCATGCGTACCAGGAAAACACAACGACGCTTGTTTGTGAGCGGGCTCCGTCGATTTCACAGCGGAGGCGTGATTGGCGTGATGCGAAACCGGCGACGATGGAGAGAAGTAACTTAGTGAGAGACTCATCCGCACACACACGAGAGCCTTTACCACTGCATCAAGCAAGACCTGAGAATGATGTGAAGCGGCTGCTTTCAGTAAAGGAATTAGAAAACCAGCTACTGCTTCACTGCCAGACACGTGATACACTGGTTGGACAGATGCAGCGACTTGAAAGCCTGCGCATGCGGACGGCCGCCGAGATAAAAAAAAAGGCAACCACACAGAAAAGGTTGGAAGAAGAAGAGAAAGAAATTGGACGCATCCGACTTCAGCTGCGCTCGCGAATGTCCCAAGCTCGCTGAAAAGCTTTTGAAGAAGTATACGTAATGCAGGATGACTGGTAAATCAGATTGAGAAAGGGAAATAGCTTCTCAGTATTCTTTTCATCCGCAGTGCGGCAAGCCATTAGTTTGGAATTCTCATCATTGTGACCACTGCTGTAACCTTATGACGTTGGTGGCAAAGCTTTGATACCTAATTCCCAATTTAACTTTCACCGCTACTTCCTTAAAGATGATTTTTATTTAAGATGATTTTATCCTTCTTTCTGTTTCTATAGGTTAGTACGGCGTGACTCATAGCTACATAGACTTATATCTATACATCTTGATTAGATGGGGAATCAGGGCATCATGGGCGTCCATGGAAATGGATATGCCAACGGTCTGAAACTAAAAGAGTCCAAGAGACATTCAGAAAATGCTTCACCAAAAAAATTGGTCAAAATCAAGGGCGTTTCACGCACATTTGAGGTGCCCTGCGACCAGAAAAGCCCGTTATCTGTGCGTAATGTATACTCGCCTATAGGCTATGGGATTAGGAGGAAGCAGCGTGCGCTTGAGGAGCAGCGAAAATCACGGACACAGGAGATCCTAGAGCAATGTAGTAACTTGTTTGATTCCAGCGAAGACAATTTAAACCATCCGATCAAAAAAAGCAACAGGAGCGTTTCCAAGACGTCCTCCGAAGATAGACATTCAGACGAGATATCTTATGGTCGCCATAGCGAGAATTGCTCTGCGGTGGCGGCCTTTGTGATGTCGGTGCATCCTTCGTTTCCCGCCGCAAATCGCCCCACGATCTCTCTGAAAGTTCGTCAGTCTTTGGTAGAGTTGTTCGGTGGTACTGATTTGTGCTTTCTTTCCAATGATAGCGAGGACTCTTTAGTTTGCACTGCGGTGTTGCAATTGACAAAAATTTCCGATGTGTATGAAGGTAGTATTGTCATTTATAAGGGTTACGACCGGTCTGTAGTTCATAGTTATGTACCCCTTGCTTCAGTGCGCTCCATAACAAGAGGATTGGAGCCTCAGGACCGGGAACTATATAATAAATCAAATGGAATCCTAAGGTGCAAAACATACTGTAATGAGGTATTCGAGGTGGAGCTTAAACGAAGCTTTACGTTGTACTATTATTTCCCCACAAACTTTTATGCAAGTTTCGTCGCATTCTCTGACGACGACCTAGGGAAGTGGATGGATGTGATAAACTTTTTCATGCGTATTAATAAGGCTTTTCGTGATTTCATGAGCTGACATGGTTACTTTCTTTTCTGTTAAACAGAAATGGAACCAATCTTTTGAAAAATTTTAGAGGGAATATGATTCATTTTAATAGTTCTTAGGATAAACTTCTTCTCATCTTTCATTTCTTCAGCGGTGTACCATTTCACCGTTTTATTTTTGAGAAAAACTTCAATTAAATGAGTAAAATACCAGAATTTGGATGGGTTTCCGTTTTTTTTTTGTGCACTCATGCTTACTGTGCCTTCTTAAAAAAATAATCAGGGTGTTCAAATTTTATTATTGTTTTCATAAATCGAGTGCTCACTTTTACTGTTACATTTTCTTTTGTAAAAAAAAATTCTTTTCAAATGACCTTTAAAAACGCAAAAGTGTGTATGTTTTAAAATATCTGACGCATGTATATTTATTTATCTTATAAATTGACCGAATAACTGGCTAGAAAAATGCAATGGATCCCCTTGGATGCGATTTTTCTCGTTTTAACTAACTCATCGAAACATACGTATAGAAAAATCATGTATCACGATTCCCAATTTTATGATATTGTCAGCGACCAGGTTGTCTCAGGAGCAACTATACTGAAGGAGACCCTTAGCAGTTTAAACATACCATTTAATATGATGGACATTTTCACGCTGACATGGTTCAAGCGGAACTGGAAATTCTTGCTTTACTTTATGCTTCTGAGGAAGCTTTACAAAATGATTGCTTTCAGGAAAATATGGAAAAGGTTGAGTATCAGATCAGCTATTCGGTCTAATCCGCAAGAAGTGGATGCGGGAGACTCTTTACTGTTAAAAGATGGCACTGACGCGCCTAAGAATACGCCAATGAATTCTGAGAAGACCTCTATTTTCCGTTGTATGGAGAGACAACAACCAAGCACGAATCAGGTTATTATGGCGGATGGAATGATTTTAGTTAACCGAAATGACAGATACTTAGAGGTATACGAGCGGCGGAAAGTCTCTAAAGTGGATAACATTGATGAGCAGGTTGAAGCGCTGTTACAACAGTTTCTTCCTGGGAATCAAAAAAAGCCATAAATTTAGGGCATTTCTTTCAAATTAAACCAACATTGTCATGTGATTTATGCTTTTAAAAAATTATCAATGTATCTTATTGGTATGTTTTTGGATCTCAAAATCCATGTTCAAGGAAATCAGCCCGATGCGTTTATTTTTGTGAAGTTTAACATTTAAACATGTAGTGCGCCTCTTGGGTATTTTTTCATAGATTTATGACAAAAAATGAGAACAACGTTATTGTTATCAACATCTCGTTTTGATCCTTGATATGATTGCTAGTATTTATTAAAAACCCCCTTTGAAGAGATTTTTCGTTGACACTTTTACGAATGACCCGACAATTTGCGATAATGAGCTTAAAAGATAACATAGCCAGACCTCTAGGGGCTTCTGTGCTAGAGTCTAAGCCTTTACAAGCTCTCATTTTGACTCATCTCCTAAGCACGATAGGTGAATGTTTTAAATTTCTACTTGGCTAATAGATATTCCAATTTGTTTTACTATTATATCGGATGCAAAAATGAGGTTGATATTAAGGCAAGATGAATTTAAACAGTCAATCTGCAATCATAAGCACATATTTATTACACAGCAATATCTCGGCGAATTCATTTTCTCTTGGTGTATTCATCTGTTCCATGAGGTGTTAGGTTTTTTTTTTCTGTGTGTGTGCATCTATCAATACCTTTAGTGATCTTCACTTCTTTTCTTTTCTGATTATTAAATAAAAAATCATAGGAAAGTAAATAGATGCTTCTGTGAAAATCTTACCTTCCCATATATCAGCTCGTGTTTTTACCTTGTTTTACGTATTTTTCAGTATATTTATTGCTAATTGTTTCATTCTCAGAGTAAGGATGCAGTTTGATGACAAACCCGTTGGAATGGGAGAGAATAAAGGGAGCGGCTTCCAATCGATGTCGTCGTCCTCACCAGCTGACGATTTCAGTAATCTACCCCTAGATAAGCTGTTACGGAATAACAACTGGAAGGCACGGAAGGAAGGCTATGAGAGGGTGGCGCAGAATATGACACGATATAGAGAGGACTTCTTCAAAAGTCTAGCGAATTTGCCGCAGGAGCATAACATACCGGCGCTGGAAGCCCTGATCAAAACTGCGGCGGCCCTGGTAAAGTCTGCGAATGATGCGGAGCTTAGTGCGCTCTCTCGTGCCTTGCTCTCTGTTGTTTTAGACAAAGGAATCACGGGCCGTCCGATGGCGGTGGAGAATAGCTTTTATCTCATTTCCCTTCTTGTCGAGAATGGGCGCCAGAATGAAGTGTTTGAGCTACTCCTACCCGCAATGTCGCATAAAACTCCGAAAAACCGAATGGCGGCAGCTCAGCTTTGCGCTAAATTAGTACAGGACTACGGCGTTCAAAGTCTCCCAATCAAACCCATACTGAAGGCGATGCAACCCCTTTTCAACGATTCGAACCCGACCGTCCGCAGGGAAGCGATTAACTTGTGTTGTCAGTGTTATCGATACATCGGCGCCGGTATCAAGAACTTCCTCACAGATCTCCGCGACGTGCAGCTTCAGGAGCTGGAGCAAAAGTTTTCGGAAGTCGTCGTGGGCGGGGCGCATCCGAAGCGAATTAAGGGAGAATACCAATCCAACGGAAATACCTCCAAGGCAATCGCGCCCGTTTCTTCTCTTTCACGGGATAAGGTTAACAACGACGTGACGGATGCCGAGTTTTGTATGCTGAATGAGTCGCCCATTATATCAAAGTTACCCAAAAGCTTTTTTAAAAATGCGCTGGACAAAAGCATGAAATGGCAGGATAGATGCTCCTTTGTGAGTGAAACACTCTTGCCCCATCTAGCCGCACCACGATTTTGTGCAAAAGAGGATTATCATGAGCTTTCGAAGATGATACGCATTTATCTTGTAGATCCACAGGCACCCTTGATGCTGCTGGGGTTCAAGATGGTCGAGGAATGTGCGCGAGGACTACGCGTCAATTTCGCCCCATACGCGCGGAGCTTTTTGAATCCCCTTTTTGACAAAATGAAGGATAAGAAGTCTAGTGTATTAGAGCATGTTATGGGTACCCTGGAGCGACTTATTCAGTATCATTGCATAACTTTAGATCAGTGTTCCGATGAAATGGAGCAGACCAGTAATAGCAAAAATCCCTCGCAACGATTAGCCGTGGTGAATTTTTGCACAAGGATGGTCAGTAAACTAGACCGGTCGCAGTGCGGGAAGCTTTCTAGGTCAACCGAAATGTTAAAACGCATGGTGAATGATGACAAATCGGCCAATAGGGATGCCGCCTATATTCTTCTTGGCAAGCTCATTGAGGCGTTTGACGAGTCTTCCTTTAGTGGCGTGCTCGCCTCAATGGATGAGAAGCAGCTGAGCCGAATGCGGACGGTCATAGCAAACAATACGACTCCTTCGTGTTCCCCCGCGAAGAAGGTTCTGCGCGTGGAGAATGAGGTGCTGTCGGAATCGGAGGCGAACAAAACCATCGATTCCAAATCCTCCACCCTGGTTGGCTCGTCAAACGTCGTCACCCCCGCAAGCAGCGCGCTGAAGCCGTCCGGCGCCGCGACCCCCTCAACGGGGCACCTCTCCTCCCGGCCGCAACCGACCGCCTTAGACGACGGGGTGGCGCTAGAGTCGACGTTGCCGGCGAAAATCGACTGCGTTAACACGATGGTGGGGCTTTTGAACGGCGATACGACGGTGTTGGATCTTCTTCGGTCGAACGAGTGGTCGCAGCGGCATAGCGGGATCTTAAAAGTGAAGGCCGCCGTTGACGGTTGGTCTTCGGTCCAGTTGAAGCGCTACTTTGACGTCTTGGTGGTGTATCTGCGCGCGTATCCAGGGTGGCGGGAGTCCATCTTTCAGGTTTTTCAAACCCTCCTGACCATTCTCGGGGATGCGCTGGAGCGGCTCCCGTCGATCTCGCTCGGTGCCGGCTACGCGATTGTGGCGGGCTGCACCCCCCGTCTCACGGAGCCGAAGACGCGACCCCTCGTGCGCGAGTTGTTCGCCCGCATCGCGCGGGCTCTGGGCTGGCGGTTTGTCCTCAAGCACCTGATCGCGGCGGCCGCCCAGGTGAACACCCCGAGGCTCCTGCAGGAGTGCAACGCCGTCGTC